CGGCCAGGCGGCGGGGCAGAGGCAGGTTGGCGGGTGGCGGCAGCAGCAGCGGCAACAGCAGCGGCGTCGTCAGGTCGCAATTCGGGTGGCCATGGGGGCTTGAGAGCAGCCGTTGTGATGGTTAGGCGTGTGAGCGATGTCGCGGTTGTCGCGGTCGTGACGATCGTCGTCGTTGTCGTAGTCGTAGTCGTCGGCAACGGGAGCGGGAGTGCCAGTGGGGGTGCGAAGAGAGGGACGATGGAATTGGTCGCCTCGTGATGTCCTGGCGTCAATGGCCTCCTCTGCTTGGGGCGAGGATCCGCTGCGATCGCCGCCGTGTCGCTGCCAGTGCCAGTGCCAGTGCCAGTGCCAGTGCCAGTGCCAGTGCCTGCGCCAGTGCCAGTGAAGATGGAGCGCGGCTGGGGCATGGAATAAAAAGGATGCGCGTGCTTGACTCGATCGACTGTTTGACTACCCCTTCAACTGACTGGCTGGCTGGCCGACCGACTGGCCCGACTGATGCACGCAACGACTGCTCAGCGGACACCCTCGTCGCGGCAGACACGAACAGGGAGGGTCGGGGCTGGACTGGCGGACGGGTGAGCGGGTGGGCGGACGGCGGCTCCTGGCCGGACTCCTGACCCTTGGTTTGGGCAGGGCAGGGCAGGGCAGGGCCAGAACCAGGACCAGGGGAGGGCAAGCAAAAGAAAAAGGTTCCCCCCCCCCAAGAGTCAAGTCGAGAAGAGGCTGGGAGGGTGAATGGGAGGGGAGGTCTGAAGTAGAGGTAGCTAGGTACAATCGCAATCCTCTTCCACTTCACACAACAGGCAGAACAGAAGACAACCTTGGGCCCCTGGGTAGAGTCGAGTAGGCGTTTGTCGAGGGCGAGCTTGTCACCCACCAAAAGGGACGGCTCCCCCCCATCCATCCCTTTGTAGTGCTCGTCGTACCTAAGAGTAGCCAGGGGAAAGAGGGCGCTTGGCCACAGTCACAGTCACAGTAGTAGACACAATCACCCACTTGATTCCCATGAGTTCGCATGTCGATCCCGATGCAGCCAAGAACACGCAATCCTCCCGAGCATGTCTATTCCACTCGATGGAATGCACACAACTGCTACTCGCTACTCTCCTCTCTCTTTCTCTCGTTTTTTCTTGTCGTGTCTCTCTCTCTCTCTCTCTCTCTCTCATCACCCACGAGTTCTCGCACGCACACACAGACATACACAGACACAGACATACAGACACAGACAGACAGACACAGACAGACAGACACAGACAGACAGACACAGACAGACAGACACAGACAGACACAGACAGACAGACAGACACAGACAGACACCCTGACAAAGCAGCCTGATCTCCATCCATTGTCGTCGTCGGTGACCTCTGTGCCAAAACGTCATAGTCAGAGTCTTAGTTTTGCGACGTGGGTTGTGGGGTCGAGTCTCGTTCTCCTCCACGCTCCACGCTCTAGAACCTAATGTTTCCCATCCCTCCTCTTTGCACCCTCCCGACAGTGAACACAACCCCCTCGCCGTCTTGCCCACTGCCTGGCTGCAAACGTTCGGCAACAACAACCACTGCAACGACACAAAACGAATCCCACGTGTCCTCGTCGTGCGCTGCCCAACTGCACCGACAGGCGTACTCAGGCATGCGATGACTAGAAAGCGCGACTTTCCCTCCTTGCTTTGTCCTTCCAGCAATCCTCACCCCGTCACCTCCTGCTCCCCCACCCTGGTTCCGAAGCCTTTCCGAAATATTCCGACGTCTTCCGATGCCATGGCGTGTGTGGCTGAGCAACGTACTCTAGCTCCAATGGCGCATACCTTCGCTAAGCCTCACCTAGCATTCATCAAGACCACCAAGGAATACCATACCAGAATGACAAACTACTAGTCATGTTTACAAAACTTACAAAACAGCCCATCCCCCAGATAATCCGGAATCCAGCCCACATTTTGTACACCCACATAGGTACACTGGATGACGCAGAATTCTTCCCCTGCCGCCGCATCGTGCCCGTGCTGCAGTTTGCAACCAGTAGACACTTGTAGTGTGCCCAGTGCTGAACCAGCAGAGAAGCACTCTGCTCTAGTAGGAGTATGAATCATTCCCGTCTGCGTACTAGAGAGTGGCCCGCTGTAACAGACAGAGCCGACAAATTTCACTTCAAAAGCCGCCCGCTCCCCCAGCTCCAATCCAAGAATTGGCAAGCCTCTTCGATACCTTCTTCACTTTCTGACCCATCATCTCCTCAGAAACCATTACATCACTAGATACACAGCCTCACGCTGCCACGCCGCCACCATGGACTTCCTCAAGAAGAAGATGAAGGAGCTAATGGATGACGATAAGCCAAAGGGTGCGACACAATCCAAACATCCATCATCTGACCAACCAAAAGACAATGGCTAAACATCTCTTCAGAGACTCAGGGAGATCATGGGGCTCCTGGCAGTGTAGCTCATGGTGAACGATCGGCTTCTGCTAGCTACTACAACCAAGAACCTCCCACTGCTGGCTATTACACACCGCAACAGCAGTATCCCCCACCACAAGCTCAAGTCCACCCTCAACAGGATCCTCCTCCTCCAGGTCATGCATACCCACACCAGCAGCCGTACGGACAGGGCCTACCCACCCCAGTGGGCCCTCCTGCACCCTACGGTGCTCCTCCACCCATGCCCCCAGGATGGACTCAGCACTGGGACCAGAACAGTCAGCGATGGTACTACACGGAAACAGCTACCGGCCGCACTCAGTGGGATCCTCCCGCCCATCTACCTCCGGGCCCATATGCACCGCCTCCAGCTGGAGCGCCTTACCTAGCTCCGGCTGGCCATGACGAGCGTGGCCTTTTTGGCAACACTCACGGCCACCAAGGTCATGATTACACCCAATCTGGCATGGCTACCAATGAAGCCGAAAAGAAAAAAGAAAAATCCGGCCACTCGACCGCCATGCTCGCCGCGGCTGGTGTTGGCGGTCTTGCTGCCGGTGCCTGGATTGGGCATGAATTGAGTACGTGTCACTTTGCCCACTTTGCCCTCGTAGCCTCTTAGTCTGTGTAGCTCATGATGAACAATAGCCGAGGAGGACGACAAGTCTCAGTCCCAGTCCTACGCTCCGCCTCCTACAGCTGCTGCAGCCGCTGCGCCTGCTCCTAACTCTGCCGCACCTGACCCTTATGCCGCTGATCCTTATGCCGCTGATCCTTATGCCGCTGATCCTTATGGTGCGCCTGCTGCGGATCATTATGGCGATCAGGCCTTTGCCCCGCCTCCCCCAGTCCCGACACACGATGCAGACGGAGATTCGATTTCTAGCAGCGACCGGGAGTCCATGGAGGAGAAGCGGGAGGAACTCATCGAGGCTCAGGAAGCGTATCAAGAGGAGCTTGAGGAGAATTATGATTCAGACTAAGTGCACCATGCTACCCTTATTTCCTATGCGTCGTGTCTTTAGAGAGGGATAGAACAGCTATTCCACGACGAAAGAGTTTGAACTCTGAACTCGCTGGCCCAATCTCAATCTATTGGAAATATCTCGTATTCAGCCTTTGCATGTAACAGCACAACATGCCTTGTAGCCTTTCATCCTCCTCGAACCCATCTCACTCCACATGAACTCATTTCTTCTTCTTTTCTTCCCCACCTCCTCCCGCCCACTCCCCGACATCTCAACAACAGCAATCACAACAATCCAAACAACATTCGCACGTCTCCCCACACAACCAACAGCAGCACAAAGTCGCAAGACTATCGCCCATGTGTCAGCACTCCCGTTCCCCGCCCATGTACTAAAGCGCACAAGGAGACAGACTCACCAAGTATACAAACAGCCCCTGTCCTTCTTTTCCTCGGCCGGTGGTGGCGGTGGACCCTGCTGATACTGCATCTACAGCGCATGCAGCATTAGCCACAATCCCAACTTACAATACGCAATCCCATTTCGTGGAAAGTAACAACGAAATCTTCAGGGAAAGCTTACGGGTGCAGGAGGAGGATACTGTCCCTGAGGAGGAGGAGGACCGTAGTAGCCCTGTTGCTGAGGTGGTGGTGGTGCATACGACATGGCGACTCTTTTGTGTTAGGCGTGACGTTGGATTAAACACTGTTGTGGCTGGTGAAAGTACTATGTTGTGGCAGAGTGGACAGTGTGGCAGGTGAGATCAACTTTTTGTTTAAATCGTGGGTGTGGCAGAGCAATAAGCAACGAGCACCCACCATGTATTCCTAGCAAAGGCTGGTAAGCCCGGGGGGGGGGGGGGGAATATGACAGCCAACGCTCCAAGCAATTGGCTCGGTCAGTTACCGGGGCTGTGCCAATGGCTAAATGTTCAACATGCCTTTTCAATAAGTGATTGCACAAATTGGAGTTGCCTTACTACCTGCCATGGTATGCGATGTAGAGTACAATACACCCACCACCACCCACGCACCCACACCAGGCTGCTGACACCTCAGCTGCCATTCCGTCGTTGCCGTTCACCCCCGGCAAAATGGACAAATTATCGAGCGCACGACCCGAATCTCCTATTTCGCGCAGTAGAAGAGGCTATCCATCCATGCGGAGGACGGAGCTGATAGGCGCCACAAGGGCCGAGGGGAACAGTGCTGCGCCGTGTGGCAGCAAGTGTGGCACGAGAGGGCTGCCGGTCAGCCACTTTCGTAAGCTTAGGTGCATGGTTTCCTTGTCAGACGCGTATGCGTCTGGGCGCGCGTGATTATTGTTGGAAGATTGCGGGTATTGTCATTGCTATTGGTTTTTGCTCTTTGATTGTTTGAGAGGAAATGGCTTTCTTGTTCGTCGTTTGATGTAAAGATTATCTATCAAGTTGATCATGCGGCGTCCTTTTCCAAGAGTCAAGACTCATCCAAGTCGTCGACTTCCAAACCGCGACTCTGCTCGTTGGTGTCGATTGCACCGATATGAGACAAGCGATGTGAGGTGAGGTGCATACGGACATGCCGTTTCTTCCGCACGCTAACACTAGCTGTGGCGCTACTGTGGGCCTTTACACACAGTAGGCAGCTTTAAGCGGGCCGGGAAACACAAGGAGAAGACGAACGTGTTGTCTCTTATGATGTTAGAAAGGAGATTGGGGAAAACTAAAACTCTTACATGTCGTAGTCTGTCTTAAACATACCATACTTACTAATATGCTCATGATACCCTCCTCCCGATTTCCCCAACTTTCTTGACGCCTCCTTCCTTCTCGTGGACTACTGATTGTGAAACTACAAATCTTCGTAGCAACGACACCGTAGACCATAGGTAAGTCAGTCTGCCACCAAACTCACAGTCATGCACATGACTATCAGCAAAGGAAAATTCGTTGCAAACCTCTTTGCCTGTGTGTCTCAAAGAACTCGAAATGCGAGGCTGGCAGAGGCCTCAACAGCTCGTCTTCGACAGATTTATCGTGTGATTCGTTGGTACAATGCCATTTTTTTCGGCGCGCTATAGGACATTCAGAAGATAGAAAAGTGTAATGTGGTCACTAATGGATGATCGTCACGACTCAAAGTTACTGTTCAAAAATCCGAAAAGAATTGGCCTTTATACCTGGAGGGCTCGTCATTGAATGTGCTTCTACTCTGCGTTCTTTAGAGAGAGCGAACACACCATATATTTGCGACGATGAAATTCTTAATACAATAGTATGAGGATTTTGACACTTGGTGCGATTGCTGGTCTGCACCTTGGATTACCCACTCTTGAATCGTAGACTTACCTAATCCAGCTGCACCGCATTCTTCCAGACTATGGGGATCAAGTTTGAAACCTCGAGTCTTTTGCAATCCCATAGTGTGTCAGTAGTCTAAATAAAATCTCTCGGGCCCAGAGCTTCCGTAGACCAAGTCTGTCGTTCATTAGCATCTTTGCAATTACAATATTGTGTGGCAGTTGAGAGAAAAACATAACAGAGAAGAGTGACTGAACAAAATTCTAGTGCATGCAAAATGGAACCCCACATGCGATAAGCTGTGTCGTGCAGATATGTTCAGGTTATCTGGGATGACAGGATGAGGCAAACGTGCATTTGCGGGCTGTGGAGTTGCAAGGTTGGCGAGGAGGGAGTCCTATCGATTTTGAAAGTCTGCACGACCAAAAGTAAATTTGCGAACAATGCTGCTTAGTCGTCTGTGCTGCACAAACAGTATGCTTCGATGCCAGAAATACCCGAGGGCCAAAAATTTCCAGGTATACTGGTTGTTATGCGTCTAGGAACACATGCAGCTGGAATATAGAAGGGAAGCATATCAAGATTTACTGGTCGAAGTGGGGAGGAACAAAGCCATCATAGCCTGAGAACTTATAGATCTTTCCTGCTTTGTGCCTTACGGAGAGGGCGCAAGACAGCGCAGGGGTCTGGAGGAGGGGTGGCCGAAAGGCTGATAGTAAACGAGTGAGTTCAACAACAGGTTCAACCATGGTACTATTCGGTCCGTGAAGACTGCATGTAATCAATCAGGGACGTAGTGGGTGAGGAGATTGCAAGTGGATAGATCATCTTGATTGATGGGGTGAGCAACTCCGTCCGTACATGGCCCTCTCCACGTACCACGGACTTGGCTCTATCCCCATCTTCTTGGTCGCTCCTCCAGACTTGTTGGAGAAAGGTGGCCCCCAATGAACAGTGAATTTGTGATGCTCTCCGCAACCACGGCGCTTCCTGCTTCGGCCTTCGGCAGGGAAATAGCCGCCCATGAAGCAGAAAGAGTGGGTTTGCTTCTTGTCAACCCCAGGATCAACTGGAATTTTGGAACCCCCCCACCCCTATAGATTAAATTTAGTGCGATAGGTAAGTCGGTAAGTCGACATCCGTATTCGTTGACTCAGAAGTGATAGTACACAGTACTATCACACCGCATCTACATTCAACAGAAGGTCGAACATGGCTCTCGTTGTATATTTGTTTGTGTTCTGAATGTGCTTGTCTTCGCATGTCAGATTCTTGATTCTACTTGATACATGAGTGAGATTGTACTGCTGAACTGAGCGATCATGTGATTGAATCGCAGGTCTGCGTTTGCGGGGATGGTCGCTGCGAAGTGGTCAAAACAGACGGCTGCTAGGCAGTCAAGATGTAACGAGTGAGTACTATAACTTGGCGTTGCATGTATTGACCATGTGTTGTGTGGTTCGGGGCGAATTGATCCTCATTCCTGAATCGTGTCGTCTCTGGAGCCTTTGTTGTTGTCTGAGGTTGCGATGCGGCGTGGGTCCGGAGTCGCCCAAAGAGGCAGCCCGACGGGTCATCGACATGGGGGAATTCAGCTCGCAGATCACAATCTTGGCCCCTCAACGTCCACTGCATAACAGTATGCCAGCTAAGTCCTGACGATTTGTTGTAGTCAGCCATGGCAGATATACCTGCCGGTATGTCCACAAGACCGCTCTTGCCGCAAACATGCGTTCAACCGAGCCGCTTCGCTTTGCCCATCACTGGTCAGTAGGAGTACCTAGAGTACCACCGAGGCCCTTTCGACATGGCCAAAAATTCTGTCAACCAAGACCAACAGATATTCACTGATCTTGCGAAAGTGACGTCGTCCCGGCCGGCTTGATTCATGGGATCGGCTTAAGACCCCGCCAGCTCTTACGGCAGCGTAACCGGGCATGGACATGTCAGTCCAACGACAGTGTAGAGAGTTGTCTTGTGGTGCTCCTGGTTCCCACCCTCCATCTTGACTTTCGGACAAGATCGGCGCCAAGCTGAAGAGGCTGCAGAGCCTCATCGCGCACGGCCCGCAGAACCCTGCATGCAGTTGCCGCTGGATGACGTCGCGCATTCCATGGGTTGAGAATGAGAATGGGATTTGTTGGCTCATGTGAAAACTCGGGACGCCACGCTATCCAGCACGAATACTCTACTATGGTCTATGCGAACTGACTGGATTCACTGGAATCGCCGTCCAACAAATCAACTCCTCAAGCTTCAACACTGGCCTAGGTAGAGTACTCTGCTCTTGGTGCGCCGTTGTTCTCATCCATCCATGCTCCTCGCTGGTCTGAAGTCATGGCGGCTTCATGGCCCGAGACCAACCACTGTTCGGCCAGTATGCAAGACTTGACAAAGTATTCACAACAGCGTCGTGGTATGACGTTGATGTGGAGGGAACTCACACTAAGACGAAAACTGCTCGTTGCCGAGCACTGCTTCTCCCACCCCAAGCCTCCTCCGCTCCTCTTGGATTGGACCATAGCGTCTTGCTCCACCGACAGTCCCTGCAAGTTCGCCTTATCTCCACAGTTTATTTCGCGCTTCCGTCGTCAAGAGCATCACGTTGCATTGCAACACCAGCCAAGCCCGAGATGCTGGGAAAAACTGTCATCTTAGTCTACTCCACGTGTAAGACGATACTCGGGTAGCGTAGGTTGGAGTGGGTCTCCGGTGGACTCGCTCAAGGACATTGTAAACCGAGTTAGCGACTTGGTGTGTTGAGGATCATCACTTAAAGGTGATTCATCTCCCCATCCCCCCCACGATTCTTCCCCTCAACCTTTCCTCTCCATAGCTACAGCTTCCACCTCTTGTAGCAAGATGGCACCACGCATCAAGGAAACCGAGGGCGGTGTCCCTACCTACTGGGGCCAATCCGGCCGGATGCTCCAGGTCCTTGTCACTATTGTTGCGACTACAGATTTCCTGCTCTTTGGATACGACCAAGGTGTCATGAGTGGTATCATTTCCGCCGACGCATTCACCACCGCTTTTCCTGAAGTCAAAGATGACAGCACTTACGAAGGTTTCGTGGTTTCCATCTACGCTGTTGGTTGTTTCCTTGGAGCCTGCTTTATCTTCATTGCTGGTGACAAGCTTGGACGTCGAAGATCCATTTTCCTTGGAGCTACAGTCATGATAATCGGTGTCATTCTTCAAATCGCCATCAAGCCCGTCGGTTCCGGCGCAACAGCCCAATTCATCATTGGACGATGCATCACCGGTATCGGCAATGGTATCAATACATCCACCATCCCCACCTACCAGGCCGAGTAAGTGAAATGGAATACAACCACATTGGATTCCCGCTAACAAGCCCAGATGTTGCAAAGCGAAGAATCGCGGCAAGGTCATTTGCATTGAAGGCAGTATGGTTGCTATCGGTACCCTCATCGCGTATTGGATCGATTACGGTTGCTTGTACGGACCGGATGACTTCTCGTGGAGGTTCCCGATCGCTTTCCAGGTTGTCTTCGCCATCATCGTGATCGGAATGATGATCAGCCTGCCAGAATCTCCTCGATGGCTTCTCACTCATCACCGTGAGGAAGAAGCGGCTACTGTGCTTGCTGGTCTCAACGGTCTACCTCGCGACGATCCAGAGGTGCTTATCCAGATGGGCGTCATTAGAGATGCTGTCAGCGCTTCCGGCGGTGGTGGCAAGGTCCCCAGCAAGGCTCTTCTCACCAATGGAAAGACTCAGCATTTCCGCCGCGCGATCTTGGGTGCCTCATCGCAGATGATGCAACAGCTGTCTGGTTGCAACGCTGTCATTTACTACTTCCCTATCCTGTGCCAGGATGTGCTTGGCACCGACCACAACCTTGCCCTTCTCTTGGGAGGAGTCAACATGATTGTCTACGCCATCTTCGCTACCACTTCATGGTTCCTCATCGAGCGTGTAGGTCGTCGCAAGCTCTTCATTGTCGGGACGATTGGGCAGTGCCTCTCCATGGTTCTGACATTTGCATGCCTGATTCCGGACACTGAACAAGCTGCCAAGGGTGCGGCCGTCGGCCTCTTCACATACATTGCCTTTTTCGGCGCTACCTGGCTTCCGCTGCCTTGGCTGTACCCTGCTGAGGTTAACCCTCTCAAGACCCGCCAGAAGGCCAACGCTTTCTCAACCATCAACAACTGGCTCTGGAATTTCTTCATTGTTATGATCACCCCTGTCCTCATCACCGGTATTGGCTGGGGCACCTACCTTCTTTTCGCGGCCCTAAACGCCTGCTTTATCCCCATCATCTATTTCTTCTACCCTGAGACCTCTGGTCGCTCTCTTGAGGAGATTGACCTCATCTTTGCCAAGGGTTACATTGAGAAGATGTCGTACGTCCACGCAGCCAAGCAGCTTCCAGCCATGAACGAGGCGGACATCGCCCGCGCTGTACGTGAGTACAACCTCGCGGATAGTGACGTGGAGAACCGATCTACCGATGGCTCGCTCAAGGAGAAGCGCGAGCAGGATGAAGGACTCATGCCTCAGGTCGGTGCACAAGCTTAGATGCTTTGTATCTTGGTCCTGCTGTTGCTGAGCGGCGGGGGATGAGAAGATACGATCACTCACATTGCGCACGTCACCCGTTCGGCAAAGTCGATTACTGTGATGAGTTTGTGCGGAGGCGAAGATAATGAAGGAAAGATACCCGACGCATTCGTCGTCAAGAGTGCGAGTAAAGGAACCGGCCGAGTCGATTGTATTTTCGTTTATTGCTAGCGAAGTCTTGAGACTTGCTATAGACATGAAGATAGACTAGACGTCATCATATACCCAAAAGTCATGTTGAACAATGAATCTTTTCTAAATTACTTCTTTGCGACAACATCTGTGACATAACTACACTTGTTGATCCTGGAATTGTTGACGCGACGGTAGGTACCTTGGCATGTTGCGGCCCGTTACGATGATTCAAGGAAGATTAGTCCGCTAGATAGGTACCGGTACCTAACACGTCGGCGTGGACCGAACAATGCAAGTTGGCCGTGGAATAACACTAAGGTAACACGTGCACCCACACATCCACCACCTGTCTCCTTCGCGCGCATGCGCCACCTGTCTCCTTCGCCCATGAGTTCGCAGTCATGGAAATATCTTGGGACACGTTCACGCCATTTCTCGTGTGGCAATTCCTCATACCTCTGGTTTGTTTGCCATTCGCATTGTGCTCGCACATGGTGGTCATGTAGCTAACGCGTCGAAAGGCAGCAGGTTGGACGCAGACCATCCTCTACAGCATCTTCATTCGTGCCGGTGACCCCAAACCCCAGTCCGGCTCTGTACGCTTCGCAAATGACCGACGCAAGATCCTCCTTGTCATCTACGCCGCCTACTTTGCCTTCACCGTCTATGAAACCGACTGGAACCTCCAACGCTCCAGCAATGCATACAACACGCTCGGTGTGCCCATTGACGTGGACGAAGGTGGCATCAATTCGCGATTCAGACGTCTGACCATCAAGTACCATCCTGATAAAATTGGCCCAAACATCGACCCGGACCAGGCCAACGACTTCTACATCCAACTCAAGAACTCCAGAGATATCATCCTGGATCCGGTGAAGCGCTTTGCATACGATCGCTTTGGCCCGGGAATCATTGGACGATGTCCGCGGGAGACATGTATAACCGCAAAGGATTATTTGTGGCACGGACTTGGCGAGGTACTTTTAATCTACGTCGCTGTGTTCTTAGGGCTCATGATGACCAACGCTGCTGGTTTCATGAGGCAGGGTTCTTACTGGAGATACCTTGGTGTCCTCGCCGTGGCCACGTTCGAAGTAAGCGCGGTGATTCGCCCAGACTTTCCAACCTTCCTTTCCAAATATATCAACCCGTTTCTGGTCTCTACCAAGATCCGCCCACCGTATCTACCCTTTCAAGTCATTACGATTGTGAAGAAGACGTCGGTTTCGCTTGTGCAGTTCCTCGCCTTCCTTGCACCACTCTACCACGCAGACCCGGCTCGCCCGGTTTCGACGGCAGAGGACACGGTAGAGGCGCGCCACAAGCAACTTGACCGTCTCACTCACTTCGTGACGGAGGCGAACAAAGATGCAAGTAGGCTGTTGGAGATGGAGAGTATACCCTACCGGGACAATGAGAAGGCGAAGAGTGAGCTGAGGGAAGCATTGAAGAAGTACATGGTGAATAACGCGGTACATCAAGAGAAGGAGGTGAGGAATGCAATGGGCCAAAGTATGGCGAGGCGGCGAGCGGGCGTGCCACATGGGGCGCAGGGTACGAAATGAGTTGATAGCCATGGTACCTATAGTAGGACCCATCCGTCTGACTGGTGGCTGGCTGAGAGCACTGTCTGTTTATAACCTTCGCATCAAAACTCTTTGTCCGCGTCAAAATGCATCTCCATTTGGGTCTTCGAGTTCGATGAGTGCACAATCGGGGTTGCTCTGGGCCTTGTCCAACTTCCTCCTACAAACAGTGCGATATACCTCTCATCTGCATGCTGAACCGCTTTTACTAGTAATCTCGGCTCGTTTGAGCATCACGTTACTTATCTTGTGCCATCAAAACAGCCAGGATGTAGCAGTGGCAAGTCACATGATACTCAAACTACCCGAGCGCATGAGTTTACAACTTCTGGCCTCTTGGGCAAAAAAGCACATGGACTTGCAATACGTCATGGGCCTTGACATGTGACAGGGGCCCATCGGGCGCCTCCCCCAGACCGCCCGGGTGGAACGCGGCTTCAGCGCGGCTACCAAAGGAAGGCTGTCTGATGCTGCCTCGGCTCAGCCGCAACGTTGCGGCCAACGGTATTTTCTACCTTGCATTCTACCTTGCAGCCCACAATCTTTCTTTGCTACAAGGCCTCCTCTTTGCCATTGCCATTGCCATCAGATCAATCATGTCTTCCTTCTCGCGATCACTACGACCCTTTGCGCGCGCTGCTGCCGCCCCGTCCCGCCCGCTTTCACGCGCCGCCCCGCGTGTCGCCCCGCAGTAGGTGTGCACTTTTGCTATCCTAATCCTTGTTTCGTTGTTGAATCGATCCTACCAAAGAACCCTGTGACAATCGCATACACGACTAACACTGTTCTTCTTTTACAGGACTCGATGCCTCTCTGCAACGGCAAGACGGCCAGAAGCCGTTGACATTTCCGACGTACCCCCAACGCCCATCACGCACCTGTCCGAGACTGAGCAGCTGATGGGCGAGTCTGTGTCCAAGTTTGCCAACGATGTTGTTCTGCCCAAGGCACGAGAGATGGATGAAGCGGAGACGATGGATCCCGCTGTGGTCGAGCAGCTGTTCGAGCAGGGTCTCATGGGCATTGAGATCCCAGAGACCTACGGCGGCTCAGGCATGAACTTCACCTCGGCCATCATCGCCATTGAGGAGCTCGCTCGCGTTGACCCCAGTGTCAGCGTACTGTGCGATGTGCACAACACATTGGTCAACACAGCCATTATCAAGTATGGCTCCGAGCGCATAAAGAAGGAGTGGCTGCCCAAGCTTGCCACCAACACGGTGGGCTCCTTTTGCCTGTCTGAGCCGGTTTCGGGCTCGGATGCGTTTGCGCTTGCGACCAAGGCCACACGAACAGACAATGGCTACAAGATCAATGGTAGCAAGATGTGGATCACAAACAGCATGGAGGCGGGCTTCTTCATCGTCTTCGCCAACCTCGATCCCAGCAAAAAGTACAAGGGTATCACGGCCTTCATTGTGGAAAAGGGAACCAAGGGTTTCTCTATTGCGAAGAAGGAGAAGAAGCTTGGTATCAAGGCAAGTAGTACCTGTGTCATCAACTTCGATGATGTCGAGATCCCTAAAGAGAACTTGCTTGGCAACGAGTATGAGGGCTACAAGTACGCCATCGCGCTCTTGAACGAGGGACGGATTGGCATCGCCGCGCAAATGACTGGTTTGGCGCTTGGTGCATGGGAGAATGCTGCGGGGTAAGTGACGGCGGCGACTTTTGTAATTTTTGCAATGACTGATGGTTGGCAGCTACGCATGGAATGATCGCAAGCAGTTCGGCCAACTGGTAGGAGAGTTTCAGGGCATGCAGCATCAGTTAGCGCAAGCCTGGACGGAGATCCAGGCCGCTCGTGCCCTCGTGTACAACGCAGCTCGCAAGAAGGAGGCTGGAGAAGACTTCGTCATGGATGCAGCCATGGCCAAACTCTATTCTTCACAGGTCGCTGGCAGAGTATCGAGCTCGGCTGTGGAGTGGATGGGCGGTATGGGCTTTGTACGAGAGGGGCTTGCGGAAAAGTACTTTCGGGACAGCAAGATTGGTGCCATTTATGAGGGAACGAGCAACATCCAGTTGACAACGATTGCGAAGCTCCTGCAGAAGCAGTATACCAAGTAGAGAAATGGCAAGCTTTTCGTGCGACCACAGTCACCGTGAAGACTGGGTCTAGGATGATGGACCAAATGACGACTATCGAGTTGGCAGATTGGTCGAGGTGATGGCCCTAGGCGATGTCGGTACAACACGGAACGGTGGATCGCGATGGCGGCCTAGGTGATTACACGTGTCTGTCGAAAATAGCAAAGCAATACTAGGAGAGTCGTAGTACAGTGGTACACTGTATACAGCACCTGTTTATTTGGGAGAGGGGCCATGGATGTAAACATCGAGAACGACAGCTAGAGTACATGATGGATTCCTATTTTCTCAATCAATACCGTGCCTATAATTCATGATGAACTGGGCGCCATTCCAAGGTTCTCTCCTGATAACCCCCCTATGTATGGCAACCTCCCTGGAGTGGAAAAGCGAGGTCTGACGGTCTGACGGTCTGACGGTCTCAGGTTGAAAAGTTGGCTTCCTGGATCCTCCGTGTTAGCCTCGGACTTTGTCGCGGTTGGCCTCCCCACCGTCGCCAGGTCTCCAGCGGCTGGGCAGCATACCATCCATCATAGCCCACGTCTTCCCACAGGCGCAAGAAGGGTTGCGTGCGCAAGCAGGACCAGCGAGTGTGGGCACAGCGCATCTCACCCTGCACCTGCCCAACAACCTGATTGTGCTGTGGACTATTCTTGGGGCTTTACGCACACAACGTACCACGGCCATTTCCAACGCCTTATCATTGTGACGGCCCATCTTCCCACTTTGACTTCCCACGTAGCCGGACGCGCTTCTCTACCAGCCAGGCCACTGTGGGCCGATGCAGCCTACCAAACAGTCCCAGCCCTCTTTTATCTGCATCCTCCCTTTTCCCCCGCTGCAGCTTATCCTCATCCTTGTGCCAATTTGACCACTTTTCCCTCATCTATCCTTGCTCCTATTTTTTTTTAAATCCCACTGCTGCATTCGCCTGACAACGCGTCCCGCCCTTTCATTCAGCCCTGCGAAACAACGCAACCACTCTGTCGCGTGGCCTTCCCATGGGCCGCACTATACACTTCAGGCAGCCAGGCACGAACCCAACACGGACGTTTGCATAAACTTCCTCAATGTAGCGGCAGAGTCGCAGACGTTCGCCCACTATGGCTTCCCCACCAAATGGCTCGGACCAGGATCGCCGCCCTGCTGCGTGCACTCGTTCGCGCACTGGTCTGGAGAACATGCTTCCGACCAGCTTCGGAAAGAGGGACAGGTCGAAGTCGCGCACGCGACCTGGTCCCGCTCCGCATATGAGCCGGTCCATATCGTCGGCCATGACAGACAGCTTCGTGCTGGATCACCGGGGCTCATACCGTCCATCACTCCATGACAATGACAAACATGCTGCGAGCGCTTCGGATCCTCGGAAGACCGAAGAGGAAGAGGGCCTCATGCCGATTTCGAATTGGGCGCATCTCAATTTTCTCAAGAATCAGCGCAACACGCTCCGCAACGAACTCAAGGTCCAAGCTCTTGCAGGTGCTGAGGCCAAACGTTCTGTCAGTTCGCTTCGCAGACTTGCCTTCCGCATGGCCGTAAACATCTCGGTCAAGGAGAGGCAGATTGCAACCAGCGCAAAGAACTTGTCACAGAGTAGAACAGGGAATGATCTTCAAAGCAAAGAGGCCGAGACAAGGATTGAGAGCCTGAAGCGGGCTTTGCGTGTGGAAGAAAAAAGAAATGTCGAGGTTCTTGAGGCTTTGGAACGTGCTTCCATGTTGACCCTGCAATGCAAGTCGGCCGTACTGCATGTCTATGTATGCTGACAACCAGCCAGACTCGACCCCAAAGCCCAAATCACAGCATCGTCTGCAACGCAGTCTCCTGTCTCCACCTCCTTCTCCACCCACGCAACTGTCTGATTATTCAGAATCTTCCCTCGGCTCACCTAGAACTCCCACACGACCCACCACTTTTGATCGGAGCCTCACACCTGGCTTAGAGTCACCCACTGAAATTCGTACTTCAGACAGTCGCTTGATACAAGCAAAGCGGGATTGCGACCGTGCGTTGGCGGCATGTCGGAGCCGCATAACGGAGCTCCAGGAGGAGTGTGCACAGAGCAGAGAAATCAACGAATCTATCTTGGCATCTCGTGATGAACTTGAGCACGAGATCAAGGACCATCAGTCACGCATTGCGACTCTGGAGCGTTCAAGGGCTGCCATGGAGGCAACGCTTGTAGCTACAAAGCAACAATTGCTCTCAGTGAAAGAGACTGAAGATCGACTGACGCAAGATCTGAATAACAAAGCCCAAGAAATCCGCAATCTCGAGCACAGTGACAAAGATAAGCAGCAGACTATCGATATCCTGCGAGAAGAGAAGCTCGCCTTGGAAAAGATGCTTCAGATTCGTGCTTCAGAGTTTCAAGAGCTTGAACATCGTACATCCAGTTTGGATGCAGACACACGACTATTACAGAGTAAGCTTGAGTCTGCTGAGCGCCAGGAAGCTTCACTTCAGGATCGCTTCAACGAGAAAGAGCGTGCGCGGGAAGACTTGCAGAAGCGACTGGACCGAGGTACACGATACATCCAACTTCTCGAGCATAAAGTACGACATTTAGAGTCGGATGCTGTGGAGAACTCCAAGTTGAAGACGCAACTGCAGGAATCCAAAGAAGCCACCGACAACGCCAAGGCTGCTCTGGCCACACTTGCATCTGAAGTGGTAACCTTACGACGCAATCTCGAAACCGAAACGAATGCTCACAAGCAATTGAGTACTGAGGTGGAGACGAATCGTGCAACCATCTCACAGCTGAAGGACGAGCATGCTATCGCGCAAAGTACACTCGAGCAAGAGAGAGCCCTGCAAAGCGCACTTCGAACTGAGCTCGAATCGACGCGTTCTCTATACGAATTAGCTTGCAACAACTTACAAGCTGCCGAGACACGCGTCCAATCTTTGGAAAACCTGGATCACGACAACCGTGAAAAACTCGAGGCTCTGCGTGATGGCAAGACTTCTCTCGAGGCGGATCTAAGGGAAGCACGAGAGTCACTCTTGATCTTACAACAAGACAAAAAGGATGGTGAAGCTGAGCTAAGTCGAATGGAAAAATCGAGAGCAGAGCTACGTGACAGATTACAGACATTGGAAGGACAAGTTGTATCGCTTCAGCAGGAGCTTGAAGATGCGCACATTGCTGAAACAGCGATGAAGGAGGCACACGCGATGGACCTACAGAAGAACAGGACACAACTCACTGAGTTCGAGACCTCACTGCGTGTCTTGAAAGGGATGCTGGCTTCTGCCGACCAGGCCAAACTGGACTTGCAAGAGGAGGTACATCATATTCAATCTTCCAAGGAATCCACAGAACTTCAGTTGATTGACGCGCTCCAATCCAGGGAAAGTTATCGGTTGAGATGCGACAGTATCGAAGATCAGCTCAAGTCTATCGAAAGTGAACGCACTATGCTGGTGACGCGGGTATCCCAACTCGAGAATGACTTGGCCAACAGCTCTGTAGCTAAGAATGCTCTAGAAGAGCGCCTAGATGACGCATCGGCGCGTCGTAAGGAGCTTGAGTCTCTCGTCTCAGAGCTGCAATCGTCTCTCGAGGCTGCTCATGATGTGTCTTCCACACTTGAGGCAGCCTATTCCTCGGCGCAAAGGGATAGCGAATCTTCTAGGGCACAGGTTGCAAACCTCCATGAGCAACTGGATGAGATCAAATTGTCTCGAGAGGAGGCAGAAGCAAGATATCAAGCCTCGAACAACTCCAACAAACTTCTCGAGGATCAGCTTCTCGTCGCTAAATCAAAGCTGGCAGAAGTGGAGAGCGATTCAAACAGCATCCTCACTGAGCTGTCAGCTGTCCGAAATGAGCTGAGCCAGTACGAAAAGCAAAATGCGGTCTTGACTACAAGCCTCGAAGCGCTGCAGATGCAATCTAAGGATCAACAGGAAGAGCTGGCCGTCGCCAAATCGCGTTGGGAAGCTGCAGAGCAAAGGGCGGAGACTCTCCAACTGAAGCTATCGATGGCAGAGGAGGAGATTGACATGACACGTCGAGAGAAGCTCAAGACAGAGGGATATCTCGAAGAAGCAATTGAATCCAACAAGGACCTTGATAACAGTCTCCGTACTGCCAGACAGGAAAGGGCGAATGCTGAGGAACGTCTTACAGCTGCACTTGGCTTGAGTTTGCAGGCCACGTCTGAGCTTGCATCAACCCAATCGAAATTGTTCAACGCTGATTCAGAAAGAGCTCACCTAGTCTCCACGTTGAATGAGAAGGAAGTCGAACTCGAAGCTCTTCTCCAGTCCCGCGCAAAGATACAGAGCCAGCTGAACGAGTCTGTGGCCCGGGTGACAACGCTGGAAGAAGATCTACTGTCCACACGTACACAACTATTGGATATTGAGTCTGAGAATAGCTCTCATGTTGCCGAGCTTTCTGCAAACGAAGAGATGTTTGCCAGATTGCGAAAGCAGGAGACCGACCTGAAAAAGCAGTTGGCGCAAGCTGTAGCCCATAGTGCGAGTCTTGAAGAAGATGCTGCACATGCTCACAAGCGCGTCCTGGAGCTGGAACAGAGAACAGCAGAATACTTGGCTCAACTCTCATCGAGTAGTGCCGACACTGAAATCTTACGCGCCGCTTACGCTCAGTCTGAAAATCATCTAAAGACAGTAACAGTGGACAAGGATGATCTGGAAAAAAAATTGCGCGCTACAGCCATGCGACTCGACATTGCGGAAGTTGAAGGTCTCCGTAGTGCTACTGAATTGCTCGAAGCTGATCATGTCCTTAAGATACTTCGTGAATCCAACGCGAAGCTGGAACAGTCAGAACAACATCTATCTGCACGCCTAGCATCAGCCGAAAACGATCTTCACACTGTTCGCGAAACGAACTCCCGTCTGGAGTCTATTCTTGAGCGCGTAACAAAGGACATGGATCAGGCCGAAGCTACGGTCAAGGAGAGTAGTAGGCAGTTCGAAGAGTATCTCACAGAGTCCCAGACAAAACTAGCCGAGTCCCATGCAAAGCTAGACGCTGCGAGAAGCGCAAAGTTGAAATTGAGAGATCGTCTCTCTGAGAAGGCGATTGAGATGGAGGCGGTGACTGCCGAAAACCGGAGCTTACATAAACAGGTTGATGAACAGACAGTGGAGTTGGGCGATCTCAAAAAAGGAAAAGCCAAGCTAGAAGAGGCTTTGTCTCTCAAAGAGAGCTACATGAACGAGTTGCGATCTTCAAGCGACAAGAGGATACGATCTTTGAATGCTGCCTACAATGGGTTGAAAAAGGAGCACGAGGAGCGCGCACATCAAACACGGCCTACTGTTGCAAGGAACAGTACAAGCCGACTCGAAGCCGAATTGCGATCAAAAGACGCGGAAATCGAGAAGATGCAAACCTCGAAAGACTCGTACGCCGCTTTAAAACGAGAGGTCGAATCACTGCGAGAAGACAAGAAGGCGTTCCAGAGGCTTGTGGAACAACTCCAGGAGAAAGTTGAGCAGCTTCAAGTTTTAGAAGAATGGGTGGACCCTATTCACATCGGTAGTCCAAATAGCTCGCGTCACATCACCATCTTGGATGATACATTCTACTCGTTGCCATCGAGTCCTTCGACAGGGCATACGAAGAGTCCTCGACCTGAGAGCATCTTCTCTATGGGACACCAAGGAGATAGGCCACCAACACGCGCAAGCCAGCATTCTCACGACGAAGATCTCGACGGTTGGGCTCAAGAAGTCGAGCACGTACGTATGTTGAGAAATGAGACTGCAATACAGCTCCGCGACCTGAGAAGATCAAAACATGACCTCAAGAAAGATCTCAAGCACACAGAAGCTGAGCTCCACCGGCTAGAAAAGGAGCACAAGGAGTACGTATTCCTGCATCATACATGAAACCCATCCAATCAATAGTTACTAACACAACCCAGCAAACGCTATAGAAACCTTCTCAAAAAAGGTCACCGTCCTACAACACCATTCCGCTCACCAGCCCTACCATCGGAACCGTTCGACGACCACACCTCCCACGTTCCGCCAACAACACCAATCCGCCCGCGCACCTCCTCTGGCATTCCCATCACAGCCAAATCAGACTTCAGGCCCGGCCACAAATCCCGACACAGCACAATGGACATGCCACAAGACATGTTTGCATCATCGCCCGACTCTGAGCATAGACGTTGGCCCACGACGCTCAGAAATCCACACGCAACAAGTCAGCGCCCCGGCACGGGTCATAGCTTGAGACAGAGGCTTAGTCACCGGCAGACGACGAGTGTAAAAGAAGAGGAGCATGGAGGGAAAAGGAGGTGGAGTTCTGGTAAGGGGAGTTAAAACCGACTACGTGTCTTGACGGTTCGGGCTGTCAT